TTGAAATTTAAGACCATTGAACTTATTCCCAAACCTGATCGTCCCTGTTAAGGTTACTTTTTATTTGTTAAATTTAATTATCATTTAGAATCCTAACTGAAAAGATCTTATATCACGGAGTAATTTTCTCCTTAAAAAAAGCAAAAATCTCTTACCAGTTATGGATATTTAAGGCAGAAATGGACAGAAAGTTTGAGAGAGTTAATAGTGTAGCTAGAGTGATGAAATAAGCGTGTGACTGATGCTGTCGTAGGAGTAAGGAAGACAGGACTGGTCCTCTTCCTTCAGATCTGTTGATTCTGGCATTTGTATGTAAATGGAGCAGTAGATTTTATGGTTTCTTCCATGTCAAATTGTCCCACCAATTTGCACATTTAAATGTCTAATCCAGGATTTGGGTTGGTTCATTCAGTCCATCGACAAATATTTATTGAATTCTTATTAGTGTTCCCAAGAAGCAGTTCTAATTGGCTTCAAAAGGCATGTTAATAGTGCTAAACTGTAAGTAGTATGTGCCAAAGGAATCATATTTGAGGTAAGTGTTTGAAGGGTTTTTAAAAGGGAGAGGTTGAGGTCTTATCCTGCCAAACCTAATTAGTGTAAAATCTTTCTCATGAGGTTAGTCTCTTGGTCACCAGAGATTCGCTGCATTTTAAGGTTTTGACTGAATGTGTCATTCCTTTTGAAGAGGACACAAATTGTGAAAGTGTTTATTCATTTCAGGGATGAAAGTTCAGACTTTATAGAATACAGTACGGTGTACAGTACTGGATAGTCTTCTTTTAAATCCTGAACTAAAAATCAGTAGAACTACAACATAATGAAGTGGGAGATGGGGATACTTACTTGGGATGGTGGGCATTAAGGGTGCATTTAGGAGCTCCATTACCTAGTGGAGTGAAAGTGAAGTAGCAGTGTATCTGAAACCATTCTGTCAATTGTGAACTACTGTACGGCTTGGAAAGGGCTTCTGAACTGGACTGCTCTCTCCTGCCTTACTGACACATTGTGCACTCGCCCACCAAAGGCCATTTGCTCATGCTGTTTCCTACGTTTGTCAAAAACCTACCTGTCAGATTTTTGTCTGTGTGGTATTCTCTCATCCTCCTAGATAGACTTGATTTCTCGTTTTCTCTAGGCCAGTAGTTTGTAGAGTTTTCCATGGCAGAAGCTTATTACATTTTTAATTATATGCGAACACGACTTAGTTACCTGAAGTCAAAGTCTTTGTTCTTAAATCTACCACTTTGCATAGCACAATGCCTGGTGTCAATATGGGCACTCAAGAAAATGTCTAATTCAGTGAAATATATGAACTATGAATTTTTAATAGTCTTTTGTTGGATTGTGATTTTTAGGTTAAAACTTCAACAACAAATTGTCGATATTGAAAATGCAGAGAAAGAAAAAATTGAAAGTTCTGACCTAAAAAAGGTACTACTTTCGCAAACTATTTTGCATTTTTAAGGAAGTATTTCTTTAAACCTGTTCGGACTCTTTGTTGGAATTTCACATGTAACTATGCTGAAAATACCACTCTAGTTGATAACATATTGATAAGGTTGCTATGTAAAGATAAAATGTTTAAACCTTTTTAAGCTCTAGTTTATTAAACATCTTTTGTTAACTGCTGTTTTTAAGATACTTATATGTTATGGTCCATGATGAATTTTTTTTTAATTAAGGTTTAAAGGACAGTATTCTGATATTCTGAGTTTAAAATGTGGATTAGAAAAATCATCCACATTGTAAGTTACATGTGTCATTGACTTGCAACTTTACATTTCTTATTCCATGGGCTATTTTTTATTATATTACTGTGAAAACTCAGAATTGTATTTATGGAAGGAAATTCATATTTAATTAAAATTGTTTGGGTTCAGAAAAGATTTACACAGGCAAAACAAATCATAAGGAGTGAAAATTCCACTTTTAGGATTTATGCTTGTGTGCTAGTGGCATTGTTTTATATACACAGTTACGGTTCTAAGTCTCAACTAGGAGGGCACAGTGTTTGATACTCTGAGAGAAGTGATTTAGTTTCATTGGTGTGGGCTTTCTGTCATCCTATAGATATGGAGATGTATTTAAACTCTTTTGAAAGTTGCTTATTCAGTCACCTATAATACAGGTTTAATATTTATAACTCCAGTTAAAAATATTGAATAGTTCTTCATGGAGAAATTCATTCTAAAGTAGAAATCTGAGACACACCATTTTACTTTATTCTTCTGACAGTTGCTCTTTGGACATAATATAGTCCTGTTTGTGGCCTTGCTACCATCGAAAGTAATGGAATTATTTCCCATTTACTGCATAAAGAATCTGGTTTCTTTTGACTCTTGAGTCTCATAATGGGTTCTTTTGATCTGGAGACTCTTGGCTTTCAACTTGCAAACTTCGCACAGAGAATGGCTAAGAGAGGTAGAAGAAAGTAAAAGAAAAGTGAGAGCTGTGTGTTAATTGGTAAAATGGTTTGTGCAGGAAGTAGTTGTACATTTGTCCCAAGTGGAGATTATTTGGATGTACCTTAAGAGCAATGAGAATCTCCTAGCCTATGAATCTGTAATTGTATAATCAGCTACTTTTCATGAGAAAAGGTACTCCCAGATAAAGGTAAATTGGGATGGAGAAGCAGCCTGAGTGACATTCCTCGTTTGATAAATGGTTCTAGAGGCCAGGGAATCCTATTAGGTTTCAGAGCATCTTTCTTCTGCTAACACTGGGTGTATAGAATGCTTAAAAACTATTTGAAAACAATGTGAGAGTGATCCTTCCTGTACTGATGATCCCTGACTGTTCAGGAAGCAGAACTCCTGGAAGGGTTGCTGGTCACAGGATATGTGGGGGTGGGAGAATGAATTTTCTTAGCAGCTTTCTCGGCTGACCTGCTTTTAAAATTTCTGTTCTTTCCTAGGAGGCTTTCTCTAATAGTTGGATTCTCTTTACTCACCTTCCCATTTCCAGTACCTCCTCCAGCCTGTTTTTGGGGCAAAGAAGAGAGAGGACTTAGTGGCAGACTGAGGAATAAGTTTCTTGATGGTCTCTGATTATATTAAGAAATGACTCTGATGCTGATGCTTTTTGTTATTTCATTTCAGGGTATCCTCAGGGGCGCATCACTTGAGTGGGGCATTTGTGAGGGAAGATTCTTAGTGTCTGCTGTCTCTCTCCGTACTCTGTTGTGTTTGTTTAGTAGCCTTATGTTTCTCTTCTTTCTTCTCTTTTAAGCAAATCAGTAGTTTGCAGATCCAAGTGACCTCACTTGCACAGTCAGAGAATGAATTGCTGAATTCAAACCAAATACTGAAGGAAATGGTGGAGAGGTTAAAACAGGAATGCCGAAGTTTAAGAAGTCAAGCTGAAAAAGCTCAACTAGAAGTTGAAAAGTAGAGTTTGCTTGTTTTTAACATACAAACTATTTTTTCTTTCTGTTATATTATCAATTTCTTAATTTCTGTTGTATATATTTCTTTTAATGATAATTTCACTGTTGAATGTATTTTGTGGACTAAGTTATAAATACCCCTTGACAGTGTACAATGGTCTTTGGTAATGTACTTTCTGTTTCTAGAGATGAGCTTTGTGGACATTTGAGTTTTTTTTTTTTTTCCGAGACATTTAGAGAATAAGACCTTTTAAAATTCTTCCTGACCAAGTATTTTCAAAACCTTTAAAGAAACACTTCTTTGTTCATTAAGTAAATCAATATATTTCTTACTTCAAATATCTAAATTATTCTTCTCAATACCAGAGAACAGAAAAAAAATTTTTGATGTGCAAAACTTACTTCCTAGAATTAAAACTATAACCTTTTGGATTTTCCTTTTGAAAAGCTCATTCATTTGTTTATATTTTTTGATCTTGAAATCTGTGAGTAGTAGACAGTTTAGTCAACTGGTAGGGAGATGATGTTGGTAATTAAGATCTTATATTCTCTGGAAAGTTTTGTTTAGATATGGTAGAAAACTACTATTTTGTATTTACTTTGTGACTATAACATGTCATTATTATAAGTTTTTATTTGAATTTACAAAAAATTCTTTTCAGATTTTTTCTTCTGAAGGCTACTTTGCCACATAAAGTTTTTTCCTTTAGTTTTTCTGTTATTTCATATTTTAAGGAAGGAAGGAAGCAAGCAAGATAATTGTCCATAATGTGTTGTGACTTACCACAGGGTCCAAATTATTTTGCTTATATTTTGCAAAAAATAAGAATTTGTATCTTGGAATCCTCAGTGTTTGAATTACCCTTAAAAATTCTAATCATAGTATACCTAGAAGATTTAACTAATTCATCATTGGTTTCTGAATGTTATTCATAGGATTATATAGCAGAAAATAGCTGGACTAGGGGTCAATAGAATGTGATTTTGGTCCCAGCCAAGACCCTTAAAATCTGTATGACCTTAGGCATGTAATCTGACTCCTCAGGATCTGTATATCTCATTTGTACTTTCTGTAATAATGATACTAAAAATCATAATGCATACAGAAGAACTTTAGAAATGGAAGTTGTTATGATGTTATTATAAAATATCATTGATACGAATTTTACCCTAGTCAAAAAACATACCACATTAAGATTTGATATTAGGGTTGATTTTTACATCTTTGTTTTTAATAGCTTGGTGGTATCATGTTTCAAAGCTGATTATCAGTTGCCTTGCTGTAACCAAGTGTAAGTCTTTAAGCAAGTTAGTTAACTGCTCTAAGCCTCAGTTTTCCTCACCTGTAAAATGGAGTTGATAAAAGTACTTAACTCAAGGGATTATTTTGAAAGATAAATGATGTAGCACACATACTGTTCTAAGCACGGTCCTGGCTCATAGAAGACACTCAGTAATGGCAGTGTTAGCAAATATGTGGCTGGGCAAGAATGCCTGCAGTTAGACAGTGAAGGATGTGGGGAAGTAGGTAATGAGATTGATTATACTTCTGATAGTATCTATTTAACTCTAAGAGTTAACTTCCCATGTTTTGCATACATTATTCTGACAGGACATTGGAAGAGAGGCAAATACAGTGGATGGAAGAGAAGCATAAGCTTCATGAACGTATCACTGACAGAGAAGAGAGGTATAATCAAGCTAAAGAGAAACTGCAGCGAGCTGCAATTGCCCAGAAAAAGGCAAGTGGTTCTTATTAAAGTGATTTCTGTAGAGTAAAACATAACTATTTTAGGAGAATAAAATGTATAATTAAAACTGAGATTTTAGTAATGTGTTTAATTTGATATTTAAACATGACATTTTGCTGTCAACCTTGCAAAGTAAATTGAGAAAAATGCAGACTGCTCAACAGGTTTATTTCTAAATGTTGTGGGCAAGTCAGTTTGTCATAGCCCACATGCATTTTTCCACAGAGACAGTGTTGTTCATTAATGAAGTTTCTAGACCAGCCTATACAAGTCTTATTTAACTCATTCTGCTCTTAAATTATAGGGTGATTCGGCCTGTTTCAGCTGTGCACTACTGCTTGGAACATTGTTTTTGTGGTTAAAATATTTTGTCTCCAACTCAGGTTTTAGGAGCAAACATCTTCTGTCCCCTGCAGGGGGAACTGGGCCTTCCCCAGGCTTCTGGAACAGCCATGGTAGTTCCCACAGCCATGATCTTTTTCAAGTTTTGTCTTTGCAGGCATATTTTCTCCAGCACCTATAAAACTTTGTTTTCTGGCAACTAGGCCAGGACATCATGGAAGTTATGTTACCAGATGATTCATCTAAGTCAGTGGTTTACAACTTTTCTGCTCGGCAAACCCAAGTAGTGCAGCATAGCCCCATCAGTAACCACAGCTCACTGCAGCAGCGATTCGGAATTTATTTCCAACAAGATTGGGGCATGTGTGTATGTGGGAGAAGGTATCATTAAAAGAAAAGTCCTGCAAATGATTTGATACGTCTCCATTTGATAAGTTCCCTTAGTAGTGGCATTGCTTCTGGGGAAGTGAGGAGGTCTGAAGTGAGAGGAAGGTACTTCTAGACATAAGCACACCAGCGTCTTAATGTCTGTGTGTTTTTGGAAAGGTTAGCTGTTCATGTTTGTATGAGAGGAGAGAACTGTGTATCATTTACATATTCTGAATTTGGAAATCAAGGACACAGTTCTTCACCTATTTATGTTGTTAGATATAGCTGCCAAACGTGTCCCAGTAGTTGGAGTGACAACACAAGAAGTCTAAAGGTCATTCCTTTCCCACTGTCTTGGTTTATGAATAGTGCTTTTCTCTTCCCATTATGCCCAGAGTAGTATAACATGGAGATTAGAAAGCAGCACTTAACTATGTAGGAATCCCAGTGTTTTACACTCACATGTAAATACTTACATTGCTGTTCTGTTGTTTTTTCCCCTGTGTATAGCTCTTCTCTTTTTCTGTCCAGATAAGTACTGAGCAGTGCATGTGTATTGATGGGATTTCAGTGAAATGTTTTATGACTTGGGATGATCACAGAAATCCTACTTACGTTTCCTTGTATTGTTGGAAGCCTAAAAGCCTCTGAAGCCAGATTTTAGCTAGAAATCATTAGAAATTATGAGAGCTGGTTTTATCTTTAAAAGAAAAACTTTTATGTTGAGGTTTTAGAGATATGTCTCTTAGGGATCAGATTCTAATTATTGAGGTTAGTTTGGGTTGACTTCTTTTGGAGCAAAAGTGACATCCAGTGATGAGAGAGATTATCAACTAATCATAGGTAGTACACCAGGAACAGGGGAGGAGGTGATATTTTAAGAAACCTGCAAAATAACCTTTCATCAGTGATGTAGAATAATTTTTTTCCTACTGAAGTAACTGCCAAATTATGGGTGTGAATATAGTTAAGTATCTGTTGTACTTTTTAAAATGTGATCTGTACATTATGATTTTAAGTTGTAGAAGATTCCTAAACTCAATTTAGTAAATAATTTATGTCCCAGAGCTGTCCCACCATAGAGGCTTACAACTTTACATCAAAGGGGAAAAACAGACAATACATGTGACATAGAAATACTGTAAAAAGCATGTAACTATATATAATTTTAGGGATGGGGGATATTAGAATTCAGATAGCTTTTACAGATTAGGAAACTGGATTGGTAGGTAGCCAAGATCACTTGACGAGTAAGAACACCATGACTAAAGTCTGCATCTCTTTGTTCTTTTTTTTTTAATTTTTTAAAATTGAAGTACAGTCAATTATAATGTGTCAGTTTCTGGTGTACAGCACGATGTCCCAGTCATGCATATACATACATATATATATATCTCTGTTCTTAATTCTGTGCTTTTTCTGCACTGTTACTCTTTTAGTTTCTCACTTTCTTTAGTTCCAAATACTTTACTGCTCTTCTTTTCATTGTCGCTGTAATCCACCTGCATCTTATTTCCTGTGGCAGAATAATCACTATAGCATTAATTTCTTTAACGCAGATCCTTTTCTCATTCAAGTTAAAGATGATGCTGCTATAGGAAAATTTTGGCTATAAGATTACCTAAATATGATTCATAAAAATGCAACAGACTTTTTAAGTTTCTTTAGATGACTATTTTGTGTAGTAAAAGTTAAGTCACAAAATATTAACTCTAGGGCAGAAATCATAATCCTTCGGAGTTGCTTTGCTGTGAGAGGTTCTTATAACCTGATAGGGAGTAGCTGCTTTATTTTTTTCTCCCCAAACTAGATAAGATGGCTCACTGCCATATGAGTATGTTCATTTACAGCTCCAACATCCTAAGCACAAAGCTTATGTCATCTCTAGTAAGTGTTTTTAGATAGAGTCTTTGTGTAATGATAGTGTGCTGTGTTGATTTGTTTGGAAAAGCTTGACCAAGTATCTTGAGTTGCAGTGCCCTTCTGTGATTAATGGCTTCTCTGTATGTTTTTCCCTGCACATTGTTGAAGTGTGAGTATGAAAAGAGATCTCTTGGTATGAGCACAATGAATTGTGCTTTTCCTGTTGAGGCATTTGAAATGATAACTTGTTATTTTTATCCTAAGGTATGTCTCTCTGAAATAATTCTTGGTTAGATGCAGTTTTGAATGGTTTTGAAAAAGAAATGAGCCATAGTCTTAAAGTTGTAAAATACCTATTGAATATGTTGTGTGGCCTAGCATTCTGTTACACACTGGAGGGAAAATAGAGGCCGTGATTGATTCCTGCCCTTGATGACCATATAATCTAGTTGGAGAAATAAAATAGCATGAAACACTAAAGCATCTATTAGTCATTTCCAGGTCAGCTGTATGGACATGACATTTGAGAACTACTCTGCTAGAGAGAAGAGAGCCTGAAGACAGGGAAGCCAGTTAAGATGCTATTATAGTAAACTTAAAATGAGGTAAGAAGTCTGGAATTTGGGCTTGAAGGATGACTCTGAGAAGTAGTCTCAAGGGAAAAAAAATAATAGAATATGGTGTTTAAATAAGACAGAGAAAAAAATGAAGTATTTTAGCTGTGAGAGAATATAAGTGGAGTTGTCACAGTAGAATGAAGAACATGTGTCTGTTGAGTAGAAAGAGAAGATACATTTGACTAAACACACAACAGATAAGAAGTGATAAGCAGTGCATTCGTGTAGACACGTCCTAGACTCCCAAGTGAAGATACTGCGTAGATAACCAGAAATGATGGATTGTAAAGCATGGAGATCAGTAACTCAGACTAGAGATGTGTAATTAGACACTTGAGATTTTGGAAAGTTGAAAAATAAAAGGACTAAGAACTAAGTTGACTTGGAAAGAGTTGCTAGATTCAGTAGAGAAGCGGTCGTAGAGGTAGAAGCTGTAAGCGCAGTGCTGTAGAAGTCAGAGGAAAAGTAAGGTATCAGAGATAAATAGTCATGGTTATTGAAAAGAGTTCCGTGAATATGGCTAGAATGTGGTTAAAGGGAAATCCTAGCTTTGATTCTTGCATCAGTGTTCTTTTGATTTTTCTTTCACTCTTTTGTGTTGTAACATTTGTAACACTAAGGCATCCATTTGACTATCCTGTGATTTGTATTGGACTGGTAAAACCAAAGTCAAAATCATTCCTACAGCCACTTTCCCCTCTGGACTTTCATTTATTTCAGTCGAATGTCACTCTTCCAATCACTTAGGCTTCAAACCTTTGATTTATCCTGAGGGCTCCCTTTCCCCAAATCTAGTCATCACTGCTTTAGTTTTCTAGGGCTGCTCTAACAAATTACTAGAAACTATGTGGCTTAACACAACAGAAATATATTTGCTCACAGTTCTAAAAGTTAGACTTCTAAAATCAAAGTGCCAGGAGGGCCATTCTCCCTACAAAGGCTCTGGGGAAAGATCTGTTCTGTGCCCCACTCCTAGCTTCTGGTGGTTGCTGACAGCCTTACCTGTACCTTTTTTTTTTTTCTTCAGATAAGGTCACTCTGGAGTGTTTTCAAGCACCAACAACCAATTATCTAATTCTTTGGACACCAACTAGGTGTCCAGCAATTCAGTTCAATTCTGACACTACATCTGATTCCACAAATTAAAGGGTTTAGTCTCATAAGACTGCCCCCAGGTCAGGTGCCAGGTCCCTGACCATCTATACTGCTGACCAACTGGCTATAAATTGGGATTACCACAGTACCCCCTCACCCAGGTTCATGAAACTCAGAAAAACATTTTACTTGCTTTTATTGGTTTATTATAACGGATACACTCCGGAACAGCCAAATAGAAGAGATGACTAGGACAAGGTATAGAGGGGAAGGTGTGCCCTCTCTAGGTGTGCCTCCCTCCTAGGAATTCAATGTGTTCACCAACTTGGAGGCTTTCCTTCCAGGTTTCCTTATTTAAGAGTTTTTTTTTATGGAGATCAATTTCTAGCCTCCCTGGCAACTCCTGGAAGTGGAGGGTGAGGAGTAGGTGGGTGGGAGTAGGGCTGAAAGTTCCCAACCTCTTATCACTTGGGCTTTCTGGTGACCAGCCCCATTTTGACATAATCTAGGGGGGGCCACCCTAAATTAACTTACTAGCATTAACTCAGGTATGATTGTAAAGGGCTGGTTGTGAATAGCAAAAAAAATGTTCCTATCACTCAGGAAATTCCATGGGTTTTAGGAGCTCTGCACCAGAAACCCAGGACAAAGGCCAGATATATTTCTTCTTATATCACAGTCCCATTCTGAAACTCTACTCAAATA